CAGCAAGAAGGTCCTAGGTTTGATTCCCAGTTTGGACCTGTGGTCTATCTGTATGGAGTTTTGCATGTTCTCCTCGTGCTTGCGTGGGTTTTCTCCAGGTACTCCAGTTCTCCCCCCACCCCCACCCCAAAAACATGTACAATGGATTGCCTTCAGGCCCAGGCCTCCCTTGTAAAAGAGAGTTATGATCTCAATGGGATTTGCATGGTTAAACAATGGTAAAAGCAAAAAATGTAGTCAGAAATTTATTTCAAAAATAAAACGAGTTTATTACAGACCATGTTGAAATATTGAAGTGGAGTTTTAGGTGAGTCAGAAATCTCTTATTGCATTATTCAGAGAGGCTGTGGTTTGAAGGACAAAGTAAATCAGGGGACTGGTTTCATGTTTCTGTGTAAAAACTAAACCTTACATTGATCTGACATTATTGCAGACGTGTATCTTAAACCTCTTACTGTATATGAAAAAAACAACATTGCCATGTGTCTAAAATACTYTATAGAACCTATAAGATAAGTTAAACGTTTAAATTTATGTGTCCTATTTATTGTTTATTTACCCTGCCATTAATTTTATATGCGTAGAAAAGTGACAGACGTCTTCTTTCAGCTGTCCCCTCTTTAGGAGTTGCCATAGATGAGCATCCTCCTCTGTCTTCACTCCAAGTACCTCCATGACCTCTCTAATTGCATCTCCTCTTTCTCTTTTTTCTCATGGCAGCTGCATCTTTAACGTCCTTGCCCCTCCTCTGGACATGTCCAAACCATCTCAATTTGGCCTCTCTAACCTTACCTCCCAGTTGTTCAACCTGTGCTGCACCTCTGATGTTATTCCTAATCTTTTCCACCCATGTCACTCCAGAGGAGAACCTCAACATGTTCAGCTCAGCCACTTCCTGTGGACGATCTTCATCCTTCAGTGTGCTCAAGTCATGTTACAGTGTACTAAAAATATTAGATACATTTTTTTCTTATTTCAAGAGTCTGTCATTTTCTCTTTARAATTTTACTCTAGTTTTCAGCTCTGTCTTATCTTCTCTTCCACCTCCTCTGCCCTCCCAATCCATCCCTCCGTCTCTACTCTCCCACTCTCTCCCTGTCTCTCCTCACTTTACTCTCTTTGCCTTCTGATTCCTGCTCTCCATCTCTCTCTTTCTCTCTCTCTGTTCATACCTCCAGCCAGTCAGCGTTGACTCGTCGCAGCAGGAAGATCACTTCTCCCCTCTTCAGGTTTAACTCTGCCTTGCCGTTGCCGCGAAAGTCAAACATTGCCTGAAAGAAGAAGAAGAAGAAGAGGCAAACACGAGCGAGTGAGTGAGAGAAGAGAGGACCGAGAGAGGCAGACGGACCGAACGTAAAGCGAACCATGACGGGTAAGATTTGACAGACTTCACAGACTTAATGTTGATGCGAAGTAGTGTGAAAATGAGAACAAAGACAAACAAAGGCTAATGTAAAATAATTTTGCTAGAAAAAAAATCATCAAAAATGATTTAGGATAAAATCTTACTAAAAGAAAACTGTGTGAAAGAAGAAAGAAATTGAATAATGATGTGAAGGGGGATTAAATAATGCAAGTGAACTACTGTTTTATTCTTGCTGCAATGTTGATGTGTTTAGATGAGGGTTGAAGGTCAATTAGTTTTATTATCAATCATAGCATGCATTATTTTATTATATAAAAAAAACCTGCTTAATGACAGTCACATCATCTTCTCTTAAAGTTGGAAAGTTAATTTATCATCATCTGAAAGGTCATATAATATGTTGTATTTTTTTATGGCAGTATGAAACTGTATGGTACAATATATGAAAACTATTTTTGCATTTTTGAAATGAAGAAAAGGTGTAAGTAAATCACAGGTATTTAGACACAGGAAACGTCAACACCCAGAGGAGGCAAACAAACAAACTGCAATGCAAAGTAAGTGAGCATAAATGTGTGGCATCAGGAATTATGTTTTAACCTAGTTGACTGTGTCTCCAGAATAAAAAGCCTACAGAGAGCATTTGCAATTAAAAATGAGCTCAGCAGAGCCATCATCGTGTTCAGAACAGAGACTTCAGAAASAGACAGACCATTATTTAAAGACGTTTACAACCATTCACCTTCTCAAGCTACTACATTCTTTAGTTTTCTAATGAGAAAAATACACTTGTTGCACACATTTGCCGTTATTATTGACTCAGAAGCATCTTCATCTAGAAAAGTCTACAACTAAAACTGTGTCAGAAAAACTGGGAGTCAAAACAGGAGGAAAATGTATAAATAGAAACAAATTACAGAGAAACAGGAGAGAATTACAGCCCCAGTAGAAAATTCATGAGAGACAGTGAAACTGAGAAACAGCTTGGAAAATCACACCGGTACAAAGAAACCAAAAAAAAAATAGAACAAGGGGCGGGTTAAAGCAAGTGGTGGGAAGGAGGTAAAAAAAAAGTGGAGGAGGAGGTGGAAGAGGAAGGAGTGATAAGAAAAGTTAAAGTTAAGCTGTGGTGCAGTGCTACAGAAAGCTATTAGATTTTTCTTGTCTTCATGTTTGGTATCCTTTTGCAGTGTGCAACTCTGTGATAGTCCTTACATGTCAGGAAGAGTAATGGGCTATTTGTTGTAACTGTGAACACAGACAGCTGGCAATATAAATCAAAAGTTTAGTTTTATTAGCACAATAAAACATTGAAGACGAAACAACAAAATGGTGGATAAAGTAAAGTCTTATAGGGGCTTTTTTATTTAATCTACATATTTACATAAAAAGAAAAAAGGGCTGCTGTGGTGAGTGCTAAGAATAAAATGGGATTTCACATACTGTACATCTCTGAGAAGCTTTGCAGGAGAGCATAAATGCCACTACTTTATAAAAGCAAAAGGTATCTGTCCTTCGATAAGCCCACGTATTTGAATTCAATAACCTGAGCAAAATTTGATGATTTCTGCAAACAAAATAAATGAGAAAAGATGCAAAGGAAGCAGAATCAGAGCCTGTCGCAACATCTTTTCTATTTTATATGTTGTTTTCATAAATTGCAAATAGCTTGTGGAGGTTCTGTGAATATAAAAAGCCAGTATCTTACCTGCAGCAGAATGAACTCAGTTCAGAGAATCAATCTGAGAAACTGTCAATAAAGTAATGAGATGTAAAGATTCATACCACAGTGTTTGCTTGAATCACTTTAACCTTTTTGAGGATGCCTGGATTAGGCATCAGTCTGACTATTTGCTATAGCTTGAGTCCTTCAGGATAATTTATTCTTGATTTTTCAAATTGAGACTCTTCACCTTTATACAGAAACAAACATTCAGTCTTTTGGTTTAAAAAAAATAAATGACAAGAAAAATATTGATGAGGAAATTAATTTTCATTAGTGTAGATTTTACATCTGAACATTTGACTTTGATGCTTATTTTCCCCATGCAGATGTTAAAACACAGCTCTAACGCTCTTGTCAAAAATCCACGTGTTTCAGATGCTTGCATCAACTTCAAAGGCCCTGTCACACAATAATGTTCTACTGGAATGCTAACAAATTGCTAAACCAATATATAACTTTATTAGTAATTTAGTAAAAGAAATGTTACATAAGTTGGCTAAAACATTACAGGGTGACAGGGCCTTAAGACTGATTTTGAGAGAAAACTTGCCACACAAATTTCTGAACGTATTCAGTACTCGAACAGCAGGACTATGCTTTAGCAGCAGGCAAGAAAACTGGAGACCACAGTCAAGGTCATGTCAAAGTCATAAAGTTCATTCTTGAGACTCTCTTATCAGTGGCGGATCCAGGATTTTTCTGAGTAAGGGGCCATCAAGGGGCCACGATATTCATAGAGGGGCCAAGTATTTGTTCAGCATCATTTGCATCATGACTATGTTCCTGGTTTTGGTAAGGTGTATGCATTTTACCAGTCATATGTTCAAACACTTGTAATGTAATGTCATTATAAAAAGCTTGAACAGTAAATTATCCTGAGCAATTTTACATGTATTTTTACTCAATTACTCTCACACGCACAGAACATGAGAAAGTGCAGCCATCATTTGTCAGTTGAAAGACTTTTTCTGCAAGATTGTTCAGATTTTCTCAAGAAGAGAAGAATTCTGTAAGATTGATTCATGCTGGACTTTCCTATTTGATTCATTAGCGCCACTAGTGTTTGGACATGGAAATGCACACACCATCACCAATCTCAGGCAAAGGACAAATGAGTGACAGGACAGGGGCACTTTAGGGGGCCAATCAGATTTCAGCTTGTGCCAATGCCTCTGTGGCCCCGACCCTAGAACCGCCCGTCTAGCAATATATAGTTCTGTGGACTGATGTATCTGCTGCTGATGTTGCACCTGAATTTCCCTTTTGTGGGACAATAAAGACTGTTTCTATTCTATTCTGTTCTGTTCTATTCTATTCTATTCTATTCTATTCTATTCTATTCTATTCTATTCTATTCTATTCTATTCTATTCTATTCTATTCTATTCTATTCTATTCTATTCTATTCTATTCTATTCTATTCTATTCTATTCTATTCTATTCTATTCTATTCTATTCTATTTGTTAATTGTGAGTCAATGGCAGCTAGTTGGTGAAGTGAGATACTACTTTCAGTGGATGAGACAGACTAGGGTGGCCAGATTGGGACCACTGGTCACACAGGGGTGGCCCAGATTTGATTTTACTGTATTTTAGTTTTCCTATATGTCAATTTGCTGATGATGTAATCGTGGTTCTTGGTCTCATTTACTTGCACAGGCAGTGATTATTATGTAGGATTACAAAATGAGAATTACCTAAACAGTGCAGAGTTTAAATTAACATTCTGTGGATAAAAATAGCTTTGCCAAAGTTTAGCTGTTAAAGCAGCAGTTGGGGTGGTCAAAGATTTCTTCCGTGGCTCTGCCCCTAGCTTCAACAAGCAAAGAAAGTACCTTTATCTGAAAACCCAAAGTTTATATGAAATGTACGTAATTTCAATTTGTCTTCAGTGTCTGATAAGACTGGAGCATTTCTGAGGAGAAATCTTGATGGGACTTCACCAAAACTGGGGGAAAGGCTGTTTTTTTAGGAAAAATATATAAATATGCTTAAAACTAATCTTCACTGTGCCATACAGTATAAATATGAATGAAGTTTATAGTAAAGAACCTGACCGCATGCTGAGCAGAGAGTAGAGAAAAATAAACAAACTTGAAGACCATACTTTTGTTACTGTGGGCATTTTAAAATGCTGTCACTTTAATATTATATGAAATAAATATGACTTTGAAGACCATTACATGAATGTAGATTTATTATATCAGTGGAGAAATTTGAGATGGAAATAATGAACTATTTATTCAGATTTTTCTTGAAGCACTGAAACAAATTAATTGGTCCTCTAATAAAGCCACAAAAATAAATGCTAATCTGTGTCTGCTGGATGTGTCAATTGGCAACATAACTGTTCTGCAGTGTATCTGTTGGCTGTTGCAACGGACTAAGTGGACCAAAGTGAAAATTAGTTCTATTTTGTTGTTTCAGTTAATGTGGCTCTGATYCATGGCAGATTTACAGGCAGCACACAATCCCCATTATTTGTTTGAAACAACGCATGCAGTATGTCAACAATAGGGGGCAGCAAAAATACAAACAATAACAACTTAAACACAATGAGACAGTTTGAATGTGGAGACATTGCAAATTGTGTGTGTGTGCGAGAGAGAGAGAGAGAGAGAGAGAGAGAGAGAGAGAGAGAGAGAGAGAGAGAGAGAGAGAGAGA